GCAGGGCCTAAAGGGGCTCCAGGAGAGCTGGAGAGGGACTGGGGACAAGGGATGGAGGGACAGGACACAGGGAATGGCTTCCCAGTGCCAGAGGGCAGGGATAGGTGGGATATTGGGAAGGAATTGCTGTTTGGGAGAGTGAGGAGGCCCTGGAATGGATTTTCCGGAGAAGCTGTGGCTGCCTCTGGATCCCTGGAAGTGTCCAAGGCCAAGATTGGAGCAACCTGGGCTAGTGGAAGGTCTCCCTGCCCATGGCACTGGGTGGAATTAGATGATCTTTCATGTCCCTTCCCACCCAAACCATTCTGGGCTTCTTTGACATTCTCTGCAAACATGGCATGTCCATATTGAAATTTTAACGTTCCGAGCAAGATGGAAAACTCAGAGCACTCCTGATGTTTGCTCAAACTTTAAATGCCTGCAGAAAATTCCAGCTTTGTTGCTCATCTAATTCCCTCCCATTTTGCAGCCTGACATTTCAGGCTCCATTTGGGAGACGTTGAGCTGTGTCACTAATGGCCCCGTCTCAGACACCCACGTGCAGTGGCATTCAGGTGGGCACAGCCCATCGCTGGCACAGCGTGAGGGCATCATTAGCTCTGTGACAAATATCCCTTCGTTGCCAAGTTATCCTTATTTTTCTTTCTTTTTTATTTTTTTTTTCTTTTTGTTCCCCCCTCCCCTCGTAATTTATTACTGGGCAGATTTAAATCAGCCAACTCCACTCCTGAGAAAGAAACTGCTACGACAAAAAAACACTTGCTGAGAGAGCTGTGAAAGTTTGGGTTATTTTTCTGGTGTTAATAAATGTGGAATTAGACTTTCTTGACTTACACTAATTAAAAAAAACAAACCAACAACCAAATCCTTCAACCCAGTGAAGGATTTCTTGCATTGTGACATCACCGGAGCGATGGTCCAGGTGGCGCCTGGAGTGTGGAATGTGCTGGGAAGTTGTGGATCAGTGAGCAGGGATGGTTGGTCCTGTAGTCAGAGCTGTCATGGCAATAATGTTGTGGGCACTTCCACACACTTGGAAATCCTCAGGGCTCACTGGGAATGAGGATTTACAGCTCCTTCTCTCTGATGAGGTGGAGGGTTTTCTTCTCTCCGAATCTGCTCATGTGGATTTGCAAGTTCAGCTCTTCTTGGAGAGGTTCTGTGAACTGCAGCTCTGGGAATCATAAGGAGGAAAAATAAAAAAAGGCGTTATTTCCACTTTTTGTGGAATTATGGGAAGGTTTGGGTTGGAAGAGACATAAAAGATCGTGTTGTTCCAACCCCAACACCTCCCACTATCCCAGGTTGCTCCAGCCTGGCCTTGGACACTTCCAGGGATCCAGGGGAAGCCACAGCTTCTCTGGGAAATCCATTCCAGCCCCTCCCCACCCTCCCAGCCAGCAATTCCTTCCCAATATGGGAAGCCATTCCCTGTGTCCTGTCCCTCCAGGCCTTGTCCCCAGTCCCTCTCCAGCTCTCCTGGAGCCCCTTTAGGCCCTGCAAGGGGCTCTCAGCTCTCCCTGGAGCCTTCTCTTCTCCAGGGGAACATTCCCAGCTCTCCCAGCCTGGCTCCAGAGCAGAGGGATCCAGCCCTCGGAGCATCTCCATGTTTTTTTCTGGTCTCACTCTGACAGGTTCATGTCCTTCCTTCATCTGCAGCCTGGGATAGTGGAAGGTGTCCCTGCCCATGGCAGGGGGTGGAACGAGATGAGCTTTAAGGTCCCTTCCAACCCAAACCATTCCATGATTCTCTGCTCCCTGTTTCCTGCAGAACTGCCTGGTCTTGGATTGTTTGGAGGAACGATCGTTCCCCTCCCTGTGGGAGATACCCTTGATAGACTCAAGAAGGACAAAGGGATATTCCTGGTGTATTTTTATGGACATTCCTGGTGGTTCTCCAGCACAGGGAATTGCCTTTGGTGGATGAATCCAATCCCATTGGCTGCTCCATGTAAATACACATTTCAGACCTCGTGGGAGAGTCCCCAGGGGAGATTTGCTCCCAAATATACAGACAGAGGGATCGTGTCCTCTCTCCTACTCCAGCTGGGGCTTTTCTCCAGCATCAGCCATGACAAAACTCCAGCATGGAGAGAGGAGAAGGAAACAGGAACAGTGGAGCCTGCTGGAATCCTCAGGATTGGTTGCTGTGTACGAGGCATCACTGGGATCAAGATTTACATCTCAACCTGTTTTTCAAGGCAAAACCCTTCAATATTTCAAAAGACTGAAAAACAAAACCACTTTTCCTCGTGCCTCCCACCTTCCTGCAGAGCCTCCGTGGCGATTAATTGCAAACCCAGAGCCAGGAAGATGTAAAATCACCTTTTTTTCTCCCTGTTCCAACATTCTGTTCTACTCCAATCCCTCAGAGCGGGGCCGAGCGGAGCAGGTGGATTGTTTTATTCCTGTTTTATTCCTGGCTGCAGAGCTCGGCCCAGTCAATAATATCGATTAGTGCAGGGTGACTTGGTGTAACAAGAATCACAGCCCTTCCTTAATTCCAGCCTGCATTTCCTCCTTCATGCCTCAGCAGCTCGTGCTCGGATGAATTCTCCAATAAGTCTGTAAAGACACAGAGACCCCGCTGGAAATTGCAGGATCTGACATTAACAGGGGAAATGAATAATTTTCTTTTCCTTGAACTCACACCTCTTTTTTTTTTCTTCGTGTGAGTTCAATTCAGGAAATTCCTGGCTTTTTTTTTTTTTTAAGAGTTTCCTCTTTCTAAATACAGTCAGTAAAGCTGAATTAACTCTGCCTTCAGCTGCTCTGTGCTTCCTGATTCCTTATGTTGGTGTAGGATTTACCAGGAGGCTTCCACGTCCCAGCCCCGCGTTGGAGCAGCTGAGTCAGCTGTGGAAATGCTGTGACTGCAGATATCCCGAGTTTCCCTGGATTTCTCACTCCACAGGGAGCTCAGTAGCAAACCTCACCAAAACAGCATCTTAAATCCACTGCTGGGATGGGAATTCTTGTAGAAAACACTCCTGGGATGGGAATTCTTGTAGAAAACACTCCTGGGATGGGAATTCCTCTAAGAAACACTCCTGACCTGGAGGGACCTTTTGGGATATGGAGGAGCTGGTGGTGTGACCTGCTCAATCCTTGAGTTTTGCTGTGAGGTTGCTACAGGAGGGGCAAATAAATCAAATAAATCCAAGTCATCAAAGAGCTTATTTTTTTGCAGGTAATGTCCTAATGCAGATAAACTTCCCTTTGGAAAGAAGGTTGGAGGCACTTTCTTCCCCTCTCACCCTGTTTGGAGACTTTCTTCTTGTTTCAAGGCAGACACACATCAGGGTCAAAAACTTCCATAACCTGCTGGTGGAGCTTTGATTTTCAAGGACTTTGTCATTTCCCTGCACCTCTAAAGCTGCCCCAATAATGTGATGAGCTCCTGTATTTATTATTATCAATCCCTGAGGGAGAGTTCCCGTGAAAAACGGGAAGGGCTTCGTAATCTTTGGGATATACAAACTTTGCCCGAGTTCGTTTTTTGGGGGTTCTTTGAGGTTTTCTGCCAAAACCCCACAGCTGATGGGGTTGTTTGTGGGAGGGTGGCAGCACATGATGATGATCCCCCTGCAGAGCTGCCTCCAGCCCTGGGGAACAACAGCAGGAGGATGTGGAGCTGCTGGAGAGAGTCCAGAGGAGACCATGGAGCTGCTCCAAGGACTGGATTCCTCTGCTCTGGAGCCAGGCTGGGAGAGCTGGGAAGGTTCACCTGGAGAAGAGAAGGCTCCAGGGAGAGCTGAGAGCCCCTTGCAGGGCCTAAAGGGGCTCAGGGAGAGCTGGAGAGGGACTGGGGACAAGGCCTGGAGGGACAGGACACAGGGAATGGCTTCAGACTGGGTTTGACTGGATATTGGGAAGGAATTGCTGGCTGGGAGAGTGGGGAGGCCCTGGCTCAGGTTGCCCAGAGAAGCTGTGGCTGCCTCTGGATCCCTGGAAGTGTCCAAGGTCAGGCTGGAGCAACCTGGGCTAGTGGAAGTTGTCCCTGCCCATGGCAGGGAGATGGAACTGGATGATCTTTAAGGTCCCTTCCCACCCAAACCATTCCATGGTGAAGCATCTGGCCTGTTGTCCTAAAAATGTTTTCTTCTGCAGTGGTTACAAGTGGATTTTGTTGCTCTCTGGACATTCAAAGGTTTCAGGAAGTTGATATTTCCCCCCACACACACTCTTTTCTCTTTCAATATCCAAATTTAACATCCTTTGGGAGCTGCCTCTGGAAGTACCTTTGGTTTGGCTGCAGTGACACACAGGTTGATGTTTTCCTGCCACTCCAAATCCTGCTCTGTGGGGCTGTGGTGCACAAATAACGTTTTCTTGAGTTGTGTTTCGCTACAAAGGAGCTGCCAAACTCACAAATAGGTTTTTCCTGTAGCTGGGACCCTGTTTGTACCCAGGTAGAGCTTGGGGAATGGAGTCTCCTGCTTGGGAATCCCAAATTCAGCGTAGGAAATGAACCCCCGAGAGACCCAGGAATGTTAAATATAATTCATGAGTTAAAGTGCCAGGTCACTGGCAATCAAAACCAAGCATCTTCCAGGTGGAATTGTGGAATCCACAGATGTGCAGGACCTGGAAGCAGCAAGATTCAGGGAAGTGCTGCTCTTCAAACCCTTTCCAAGCCCCGTGGGCTTCAAAACACATCTGAGCCACGTGGACAAGACATTAGGGGTTTATTGCACAAGATGCAGGACCTGGACTTTGTGGTCTTCCTGCAACACTTCCACTAATTTTGGGGAGTAGAAATAATGTTTAAAAACATCTCAACCCCACCTGTATTGTCCCCACTGCTTCAGCAGCGCTTGCTGCGAGCAAAAGGGGGATACGGGGAGCGTGTCTTCACGTTAATTACTGATCTTTCATCAGGAAAGGAGCCTTTAATTCATGTTTAATTATCACTTGCTAAGCGTTTAATTATCACTTGCTATCTAAAAACCACGGGCTGCTGAGATCTGTTAGCCAACTTGTTTGATGTTATTTTCCAGGAGGACCGGATGATAACTTAATTGAAGGTGGCGGATCCAAGTTTGTCTGCAAACCAGGAGCCAGGAACATCACCATCATCTTTCATCCCCTCCTCAGGTAATTCAGGGTTTTCCACATGCTCCCACAGGTGCAAATAATTAGAATTAAGTAGAATTAACCTTCTGGAATTAACCTTCTCTGCGGGGATGGTGCCGCTTCTGAGCCGTGTCCCGGAGCAGCGGGCTCGCTCTGGAGTTGTTGGTGTGCACATGTTAAAAAAATCATCCTTAATTCAGCTTCTTGGCGATGTTTTTAAACCTTTTTCAAGCTGAACTCTGATGCCAGGTGGGATTCCCTGCCTGGGTGAGCCCGTTTCACTTCCCAGTGTCGTTTATTACTGATGAGGTAAAATTGTTTGTCACAAGTTGTTTGTCTCTTCCTGGCCTTTGTGCTTCTTAAAAAACTCAGAGGACGCTCTGATGAACTACAAGGAGAGTCCAGGCTTTGATAAAACAAGTGTGGTCTGGCAAATCAATGCCTGATCCTGGATGATTCCCAAAATCCTCACAGCTGGAACTTTAAACAGAGAGAGTTTTTAATGAGCCTTTTCTCACCGCGTCGTTCTCCTCTGGTTGCTTGAGTTTTGCTCTTTTTGCTTTGCAGTCAAAAGAGTCCCTGGTGTTGGTTTTGTTGGAATTAAACACTGCAATGTGGGGTTGGTTTTGTTGGAATTAAACACTGCAATGTTTGCCTCAGTTCGTGTCGATCTCCCACCTCTGCTTTTCCCTGCCAGGGTTTTCCTTCATCATCAGGGATGTCCTTTCCCACTCGCCAGCAGCTTTAGAGTGTTTCCCCTCCTTGGCTCTGCTTTTATTACTCGCTGTCACGAGCCACTGAACAACCAGGGGATTGTCTCCAATAATAAAATAGCAATAAAAAAATAATTCAGTCTTATCCCCAGGGGAAGGAATGTCCGACTAACCTCAGTTCTCAGCCCTCAAAAAGATGGTTTTAAAAGTTATTTGTGACTTCTCAGCACTTAAAAATACAGATGGAAAGTGCATAAACTCCTCCAGATCTAAATTTCTGATTTCACGGCACCGGATATTGGAATAATCTTGATAAAAGCACTAAAATTTGGTGTGGTCTTTAAGGGCTTTCCTTGGAAAAAGGGTTGTGTCCGTGGTACCCTCTGTTTATTGCTGGATGTCCATAAACAAAACAGAGAATTCCCCAAACAGATTTCATTTCAACCTCTGTCTCTTCACAACTAAAAAAACGCCCTAAAAATGAAATTTGCTGCAGTATAATTTATGGTTTTCAGCCATTTTACTGTGGAAAAAGATGGGCGATGGTTGAGATGCTCTTCAATTGGTATTTCTTCAATTTCTCAATTTTTTTAATGACTTTACAGGTGCCTTTCAAGCACAGAGGGGGGTCATGCTCTTAGTCTCATTGATGAGATATTTCCCATTGATTTAGACTCTTTCCCTTTGCCTTCACCCTTCATTCCCCCTCCCCTTTTTTCTCCTGTGCAAGTCAAACCTGAGTGCTCTGCTTTAAAATAACACCTCTCACAAACACTTCACTTTTCATTACCAAGCCTGCAAGAGGGGCAGGAGGAATAATTCGCCTCCTAAAAAAATAATTGCAGCATCCTCACTTCCCTGCACTGAGTTTTCCATCAGCAACCACAGGAGGAGAAGGAAAACAGGCCGTGACCCAGCCTGGCCTTTTCTCCCTGCAGGATGGGGGGGATTTGGGGTTGGGATGAGGGCTGTGGGAACTATTTTAATGTGATTTTACCAGTTTTAATCACTGGCACAGTGAATGCTGAGTCCTTGTTGTCTTAGATTTGATTTTGGCTCCTCAGCTTTGGCTAAAATGTTTTGATGGTGCAATAATTCCCAGCGCTTGGAATATTAGAATCCTCGTCTTCCCTGTGCGTCCCTCGTTGGTCAGATCTTTGCTTGGCCCTTTTCTGAACGTTCCTGTATGAATTCCCAACTCTTCCTGGAGGGAATTCCTGCAAAGGTGTGAAGTTTTCACTTGTTTTATTTGTCATTTGCTGCCGGGGTCGTCTTTCATCCCTTTCCCCTGTACCTACTTCAGATGAATCTGCTTTGAATTCAATATTTTATTCAGAAGTGGGGTTTTTTCCCTTATTTTTACCAAGTTCCCATAAATCCGTTGCCAGGTGGACTGATTTCCTTAGGAAACTCAGTGCTCCTGGAAGTACTGAGCAAACTTGATCCCTGGGAAACCAGGCCCTGGTGGGATGGTTTAAAGCCTGGCTTTTAAAATAGAATTCAGCCCCAAATCGTGGAGAGTTGTAACCAGAACATTCATATCCATCAGTCTAAGTTTCCCTCTCTCGTCCTCCTGATATGAGAAGTGTCACCGTCCTTCACATCAGAGGGGCACAAGGGGTAAATTTGCTGCTTAAAAAGCCTTTTTTTGATCCTTTTTTTTTTATTTACAAGCTCAGCTCCAGATCCTTTTGAAGACACAGGTTCAACAGGATTTTGGGGGGAGGCTGTAAATTAACCCCCTTATCCCCCCATGGCCAATGTTTGTTTAGAGAAATTAGAATTTACAGCCACGGGGAGCATAAAGGGAAATACTCACAAATGGTTTTCAAAGCTTTCCTTCCCTTGGAGTTCATTTAGAGCAGCAAACCAGAGGTGGGAAGTGAGGTTTTGGGATGTGGGTCCCCTGATTTCCACCAGGACAACTGAGACCCACCAGGGCCCAGATTAATTACCAGGATTTAATGACTCTCCACACGCATAAGAAACAGAAACGAGGAGTGAATTTCTGAAAGACAAGGGGGAGGGGATTCCTGGGAATAGATTTTCTTAACTGCACCTGATGGAAAATTCCAAATTGGAGCAGGATGCACGTCCGATTTCCCTTAATTACTTTTCGTGGGAGGTGGTGAAGTATAAAAGTTACCAAAATTGAGAGTCCACTTCATCCTTCGCTGTTAACCAGAGTTTCCTTGGATTGGGAAAGCACTGGTGCTGCTGGTCTGAGGAAATAACATCTCCTACTGGAGGAAGGAATCCTGCAGGACCAAATCCTGGAATGTGGAGCAGCCTGAGCAATGTCTGGTGTGACATTTGTTTGGTGGGGATTTTTTTTTTCCTTCCCTGTCTCTCTCTCTCTCTCTCTGTTTTATCGTTAATGTTTATTTGTTTCAGCTGGCATTTGAAAGGCACTTGGCTCCTGAGGGTAATAATCCTTTTACATATGCTTTATAGAGTGTGTTTATTACCAGACAATTGAAGAACAGATGTCTGCAGTCTTGGGGAGGGAGGGATGCAGGGGCTGGAGGGCGATGGGAACTCAGCGGAACGTGGTTTGGATGTTGGATATCGAGGCCGCCAGGGCTTCCATTTATTACCATCAGCCACACCTCATTAAGATCAAGCAGCAATTAAAAGGGCTTGGAGGATGATTTGGACAATCTGGGCGAGACTGTGACCTTGGGAAGGAGGATAGAGGGGCTGGATTGGCTGGGCAGCCTCTCCCTCTCCACGGGGCTGTTTTTGGGGGAATCTCCCTTTGGCAATGTCGAAATCACCTCCCTGGATTTCAGAGCCTGGAGAGCAAGGGGAAGACAAAGAGTTGGTGTGTTGGGGTAGGAGGAAAAAAAAAAGAGGAAAAAAAAAGAAGGAAAAGCCAAATCCCTGCTTTGCCTCTGCTGGTGTTGTTTGGGATGCAAAGTTTGACGCTCCAGTTTGCTGCTGCTTGGATTTTGGATTGATGGCAGTGGAGGGAAAAGAGAAGGTAATAATTTGACATTTTAATTTAAAATTGAATGTTTTTATCTGTTGCTACAAGTGTCCATCGTTGAAAGCAGGAGACCTTTCACTTTGGAATTGCCTGTTTCTTCCAGTTGTGTTAATTCCTTAAAAAAAAAAAAGTGATTACTCTTTTAATAAATATAATAAATAATTTGGGGACTAATCAAGGAAGAAGGTGATTGACTTTTGCTGCCTGTTGATATGTCACCAACTGGTGGCAATCAGCTCTGAGCTGCTGAAGGTCCAGTTGCAAATTCCAGGGTTTCCCTGTCCTTGGGAAGGAGGTTGCCAACGTGCAGAACACGTGCACACACCCAGGTACACAAATACTGGCAGTTTTATGGGAATAATTCTGTTTATTTCGGGTTATGTCGAGATGAAAGGTGCTGTGTGTAGAATCTAAACCCTCTGCTGCTTTTGGAAATCTTGGGGAGGGAAGAGCAAAGTTGGGACATCAAAGTCTTGGAGCATCAGCTGCTGCTGCAGCTGAGCAGGTTCCAAAACCACATGACTCTAATTGATATAAAACTCTGTGTATAAGCTCACTAAACACCTCTTTCATTAGTATATCTGTACAGCTAGAATAATAAACAGCTAATTTTATTTTAACTACAATATCTTGTAGTTGCACACCACAGAATTAATATTTGACAGTATGGGCAGTGTGTTACTTGGGAAGCAAAAGGAGTGGCAAAATTAAGTTTGTGAGTTATGTTCAGATTGTGTTAAATGGCTCCAAATAGGTTAAGAAAAATATGTGGTATTTTATCAGTCTAAGGGTTCCATATTATTATTGAAGGAGGTGGAAAATGTCAAAGCCTCCTACGGCACAAATAGTGCTAAATAATGAGAGCTGATGCCTTCAGCTTTTTGAATCAACCCCAAAATACTTGATTTTAGAGAAATCAATAAAACTGACTCAAGCTGGGAGAGGGAACTTGTGATATTGACTGCTGCAAGTTTGTGTTTGAGTTTGAGTAATGAGCACAGGGTCAGGGGTTAAGGAAAAAAAAAATCTGACGTGCTGTTTTTGTGCACAGGAAACGTTTTTTGCAAACTTTTAAATGCAGTGACTCCTTAAAAATAGAAGCCTCCAGATTTCATGAAGTCTTACATTCAGACTTATCTTTAAAGAGGGGGAAAAAATATCACTTAGTTAATCCAAATCCGGCTCCTGCAAGGTAGCGGTGGTCTTCCCTTGGAGAGGAGGCATGGAGATGGTGCCTCTCTGCTGGTTCTGTGATGTAGTGGGGCAGGTGAGGGCCAGATCATGGAATTGTTGAATCCTTTAGGTTGGAAAAGACCTCC